CAAGTTAGGAAAGGGGAAAAAAAACAAAACACTTACATGAAATAACGGGCAAAGATGACACTTGCAACTGGCTTCCAAGTGCAAATGATGAGCTGGCAGGTAAGCACTGAGTCAGACAGTCAAGTGAGAGTCAGAGGTTTAACAGGGTGGGAGAAAGGATGGGTTGGTCGCTGTGTTGCAATACTGACACCTCCCTCCCACTGAACACCACAGAGATGCAAACAGATAAAAAAAGCCTTTTATCTTTGGCTATCATAGATTATCAGGCCAGAACAGACTTTCTTGGCTTAATCTTTCCCTTACTCTGTCAGATCCCTAGTGTTGTCTACTGGGTGTGGGGCACATTGCCATAGGAAAGAGGGGAGCACTCTCTCTCTTTCTTTCCCTTGTAGAACAATGTGAATGCTTCCACACTCAAAAGTAGTGATGCAATTGTGCAATCCCTGTAGTGTAATGGGGTAACTGTCAGTCCATGGAGTCAGCTTACTTGGAGGGTCTTCAGGAAACCCAGCCTCATGCTTGCAGAGAGCAGCAGAGACTGAGTGCTGGTCTCTCCTTACATACTCAGGTATCAACTGGCTATTTTGTGCAATAGGGTTACATGAGATTTACCTCAGTGTAAGTGGGACATGAATCAGGCTCAGTGATTTCATGATATGCACTGGGATGTATGGTTGCTTTAAAGTTAGTTCTGTGATTAGATGCTATAATTCAGCTGAGAAGGAATTAAAACCAGAATGTACAATTAGGTATTTTCAAGCTATGTGCACACAGAACCTGGCAGCTGGCATCAGCTGGAATCACAGCCCTGGTGTATCATCTCCGTCTTTAATGCCAGGGCAACAGTTTCCTTCTTTGTCACATCCCTATTGCTGGTCCATCTTACAAAATCCCACTTAACTGGGATGCTTCTACCCAGCTCTTCCTGTCATAAAATAAATCTGACTGGTGTAAACTGGAGAAAGGGATTACTTCTTACAGCTGCCTTCTCCCTAACCCTCAGCACACACAAGCCAGACAAGACAGGATATTCCTTTAAGATGCATCCAATACTGCTTCTGAGAATATAAAGAAAGAAGGCTGAATTCACCTTGGATGTTGATCCACTGACTTTAGCAGGGTTACCCTAGGCATGGATTTGGCGCAGTGTCTGCAAAGAACAGTCTGTGGTCAGTAATAGACTGTAAGCTATGTTGTTATGGTTGATTCTGTCTAACTAAAGATTGTCTTGATTTTGCGTGTAGCTCTGAATAAATTCCATGGCTATCCCTTAAAAGCACCTCAAGTAAGAGTCATTCCCCTTTTCAGAGCAAATCACATCAACAGTAGTGAGCAATGCCCAGGACACGCAGATTTGATAAGACAGAAGGAGTTGGTACCAGTACAACTAACCATGAAACACAGGGAGTTACTGAACAGCTTGTCTTTTAGCCAGGAGGAAGCTAAATCCTGAAACACCATTCAAAGAGAATTAAACCCTTGGTCATGGATTCTCGCTTCACACATGCCCAGAAGACATAGGCAATTACATTCCATAAGAGAGTTACTTGTATCATGAGACAAGCAAGATTCTTTGGGTAGATGTGATATCTTTTAATAGGCCAACTTGAATAGTTGGAAAAAAGTTCTTAGCAAGCTTTTGGGCCCAGTCACCCTTCTTCAGGCTTAGGGAGTCTCTGCTGCTCTGAGACTCCAAGGAATGAGAGAAGCTAAAGGTGTGGCAGGATGTCAGTGAGAATGTAAATAGGTAGAAAATATAAAGACAAAAAGGTAAAGCAGAGAGGGGAGGGGGAAGAGAGCAGGGGAAAACAAGGGTAAAGGAAGCCATTATAGTGATAGAATACAAGGTGGAAAAGAGGCTGTTAGTGAAAAAGAAAATAGTTGGAGATTAGGAAAACAGGAATGAGAGAAACTCAAAGTGTGAGAGGATGTTGTGAAAATATAAATGGGTGGAAAGGAGAAACAAAAGGTAAAGCAGGGGAGGGAGGGGAAGAAAGCGGGTGGGGAAAGGCCAAAGGAAAACATTACAGGGGTAATAATACAGGGTTAGGAAGAGGGTCTCAGTGAAGAAGGAAATAGTAGGAAGTCATGGAGACAAAGGGCAGAAAAGTAGGGGAGGGGAGAAAAGGTGGGGGAAAGAAAAATAAGAGGTCAGGTCAGGCAGGTACCTGTTGAATCAGATGTCAGGCAGGTTGTAATGTGTCATAAAACCAAAAGCCACAACCATAAACCCAGAAACTTGTATCATGAAGAATAATAACACTGCAGACTTGCCCTCATGCTTTGTAGCAGCCAAGAGAAAGACAAACCTGTCACTTCACTCCTTCCTGCACCACCTGGTAGCTAGCTCCTCTACCCACAGAGCCTGCCAATATACTTATCCCTTCTGTGACTCCTCCTCTGCATGTTGTCCTGGCCATCCTATGCAGCCTTCTGTCCCCTCCCATGGTGTCCAGTAGCTAGCAGTATGGAGGCTGTCTCTGGAGGGTCTCCATCCAGGGAAACAGGAGTAGGAAAACCTTCCCTATCCTTGTATCTCATTTGTTGACTGGAATCACCTGCGATTGCTCATGCAGATAAATTAGTGGTTCTCAGGGTGATTTACAGTAATTGCTTTTGTATTCATGTGGAGCCTGGTGGTTTGAGGAAAAGAGGTGAGGGAGCAATGCTAATAGAGGTAGTGGCCTGGTTGCCCTGAAGACCCACCATGACTGGGGTGGGCAGGTGTGGAAGGAGGCATGCAGAGACAGACTTTCAAAAGTTAAGTTTGATGCTAGATGGGATGAAGGAAAGACTGGAGATAAAAAGTCATTGCATGTCCCAAAGATTAGTGAACAGTGATCTAAGATTCTTTACTCCAGTGGCAGGGCCTGTGTTTGTGGAACAGGAAGATATGGGTGTGACATTAAGAGTGGCCCTAGAGCAGAACACAGCAACCACCAAGGAGGCTTAGGTGAGAGAATGGATATTTTTACTAAAGTTACACCCCAGGGAATTATGCGCAAAAACCCTCAAAATTATGTGCAGAAATACTCAAAACTATGCAATGTTAATTGCTTTTTTTTTTTTTTTTTACAAATTAAACTAAATATAACACTTTTTGAACCTTCTTTAGAAATATATGCAGGTACTTGTGTGTGGGGTATGGTTTGGAGGTGTGGGTCGGGGGGGTTGTGAAGGTATGGTGGGTACGGGGAGGTGTGGGTGTGGGGTTTGTGGGTGGCTGTGGATATGGGACTGTTTGGGGTTTGTTGGGGAGTGTGTGGGGTTTGTGGGTAGGTGTGGGCTGCCCCACCACACGCCCCCCATACACAGCCCCCGCCACCACATGGTGCCCCCTGAATGCAGCCCCTGC